CTGGCCACTATCAGCTGGACTAGATGGATCTGTGGCTATTCTCATATTATGTTCTTATGCTTGTTTATTGTGATTTTATTATAATGATGAGTAGGGGGACCAGCAGTGTTCCCTCTAAACTGTGTGGCAGAACAGCTTCACAGGTCATTAATCAGCCCTGCTCCATCAGAGGCTTAGAGGGAACCCAGGCAACCAAGCATTGCTCTGCTGCTCCCATTAACCAGGAATAACTGCCTCATCCCCAGCCCCACCCCAGAGTCTGCATACCCAGCCAGAATCCTCATATTGTCCCTTTCCCCAACCCTGCCCAACCCAGAGCTCCCTCTCATCCTCTGACTCCCTAAGAGTATGTCTACACTACAAAGTTAATTCGAACTAACTAACGTTAGTTCGAATTAACTTTGATAGGCGCTACACTAGCGCTCCGCTAGTTTGAACTTAATTTGAACTAGCGGAGCGCTTAGTTCGAACTAGGTAAACCTCATTCCACGAGGACTAAGCCTAGTTTGAACTTACTAGTTCGAATTAAGGGGTGTGTAGCCCCTTAATTTGAACTAGTGGGAGGCTAGCCCTCCCCAGGTTTCCCTGGTGGCCACTCTGGCCAACACCAGGGAAACTCTATTGCCCCCCTCCTGGCCCCAGACCCCTTAAAGGGGCACGGGCTGGCTACGGTGCCCGTGCCAGGTGCAAGCCTGCCAGCATCCAGCCAGCAGACCCTGCACCTGGCACGGCTCGAGCCAGCCACCCGATGCCCCCCAGTCCTCCGCCTCTTCCCGGGACCAGGCTGGCGGCTCCCGGGAGCTTGCCCGGGACCACAAGAGGTGGGCCCCCGCCTGGTCTAGAACGGACATCATGGACCTCGTCCACGACCTCCGCACTAGGCACAGGAAAGTGGCCGTCTAGGGCAGGAGAGCTGCCAGCCTGGCCACCCAGGAGCAGGTGAGCATGAAAATCAAGGTGGTCCACCCAGACCCCCAACCCTGAGCTCTGAGCTTACAAGGGCCATCCTGGGTCAGACCAAAGGTCCATCGAGCCCAGTAGCCTGTCTGCTGACAGCAGCCAGCACCAGGTACCCCAGAGAGGGTGGACCAAAGACAATGATCAAGCGATTTGTCTCCTG